CCTGACAAGCTAGAACAGTTTTGAGTGAAAAGTACAGAGGAATGACCTGTTCACCTCCCCAACACCACAGAAAACCCAAAGAACGGAAAGAAAATCCAGTTTATCACCATACCAAAAATAGCTCTACTTTTTAACCTTTGCTTTTGTTACAGAAAACAGCAATTGCATTCATTATTTCTGAGAAAGTAAGGGTAAAGCTGTGAGATGAGTGTGTAGGGTAAACTAAACAAAGAGATGTTTTGTTTGACAATAAAACTTCTAAAAATACTGCATTTATGTCTTTTTTTTCTAGTTAGGTGCATACTGAAGGCTAAATCTCACCTCTGCTGAGGAATTTCAACCCTTGCTAATGAGTTGAGGACAAGGAGTTAGGAGATTACCATTCATCACGTCAAGGATGTGCAGACAAAATTTCAGGTTAGGCAGAGTAGTCTGTCATTCAATCTTAGATAAGACTGAGTAATGATCACTCATCATCACAGTGATGAGTTAAACAAAAATAAAACCCCTCCTCCCACGAGGCAGTGTGAGGAGTCAGGAGGAGGAAACATTCTTCCTTCTTCATCCAGGTCAAGCCAGGCTGCTGGGGAACAGCTCATCTTCATCCCAGTCAGAGGCAACACATAGAACAAAATTTTCTTCCCCTCTGAAGACCAGCAAGCTTGCCTCCTGCTTCCCCCCACCTACTAATCTGCTGGGAGAGGGTTTTTCCCCTGAATGAAGAAGGAGCAACTGTAGCTGGTATCACTGTTACCACCAGCAACACTCCCCCATTGCCACTGGGTGTGGTGTGACCACCCTCCAGAGCCCAGGCAAGCCTTAAACTGGGGAGCAGCAGCTCCAGTCAGAGGCTCCCTGTATAGAGACACATTGGGACTGGAGGGAGATGGGGCACTGAAACTCCCCTGTGTCTCACCAAGAACCTAAAGGTCTTTAAAAGAGGGTTTTGACAACATTAAAGTATCCCATTTTGGATACTCACATGGAATAGAATACAGAAATGCTGCAATCAAAACAAACCCCACTGGTTTTGGTTATTCTAACCAAAGCAAACACTCTCATTTTGCAGTCAAGTCTGCTGCTTAAGAGAAATATCAACTGAAGACAGACACACAAAGCAATCCAAGTGCCATTTCTACATCAGATCTTGCACGTGGACTTAAAAAAAAAAAAAGCTCCCATAAAACTCCACTGCTATCCAGTGCACAAAATTTTATTTCAGTATTTTTAAATATTTCTTTATTGATTTTCATATACATAAGAATGAGCTTATTAAATGTTGGTTTATAATTTCCTATTTAAATACTGCACAATGCAGAATATATACACTGTCACTTCATTTTTATACTTAAGAAGTACAAGTGCTCAACTTCAAAGTGTTCATATCAATATTAATTAATAAAAATCATCAAATGCTTAAAAATTAAAGAGATACTTCCATTTTTTTTTTCTTATTTTCAAGACAACTAAAGAAAGACTTTACTACTTTGGGCTGTCAGAGAAACTTCTGATTAAATCTTACACTTTTAAAACTAATTAGGAAGTTACAGAAAGATAGCAAGAACCACTTTAAGGTTAAACAGAAACAATTCTCCTGCAGAAATTGATCAGGTCTTATTTTTGGAAAACACTTCCAGAGATGCTGTTTCAAGTATGTCATCAGATAAACATAAGTAAAAACATAGTTGGACACATAGACATTCTCTCAAGAAGAGCCTCTTTAAATAGGAAAAAAAATTGCAAATCCTTTTAAGGCTTCTTTTAAATCCAGTTATTCTCTCAGTATGGAAACAGATGATTTCTGGAACAGAACCAACTTAAACTTCTGGTATTTCAAATACAGGACAGCAATTACTGTTGCTACTTCAAGGGTTGGGTTATTTTCTTTTAATGTAACATATCATTTCTGCTGTTACTTTTTAACAAGTCACCTTTTCAGATCCTCTGGCTTTCCCCATCCTCTGATGAAAAGTTTAGTGAGGAGAAGCTTTCGGTACAAGACATCTAATTTACTTACACCCATTAGCAGCACACGCTCATCTAGGGAAAAAGCAGAGGTAAAAACAAGGCAGTTAAAGTCCACACGAGTGGGAAATTCATTGATTGTAACACAAAATGGTTTCTTATTCTGGTTTCTGCATTAAGGAAAAGCCATCTAATGTATTCCAAGAAAGTTAACCTCGATATTCACGGTCAACTCTTTTCATTTTGAACAAAATATAAAGGCAGCTGATAAAACCTGTCGGAATTTAAAATGCTAATTAAAACCAGATATTCATTACACCACTGACGACAAGCCAGCTGAAGAGGCACATCTGGACTACATCAAAACTACATCTTCAACCAGCCCTACGTGTACTGTACTTGAACTAATGAAAGCAAGAGCAGCAGTGATCTCTGGCCTCTCCGTAGAGCTACGATGGCAAAACCGTTCAAAAGACACCTCAGAATAGGAGCTTGAAACAAGGGTTGGGTCTAACCACTGGAAGACTTCATCTTCTTAATGGAGAGAAGGAGAGAGAGAGGAAGGAGGGAGGGAGAGGAGGTAAATAATGCAATTCCAGTCACTGCTGCAGGGAAAGGTCAGTTTTGCCATCTTGCCTTCCTCAGGGTGGTAAACATATATCCTAATCCTTACTTTATCTGCTCCTTTCCAATTTTGATTTTTCTTACGGTTTTCAAAGTGATGCTCCTCCCACTCCTTTCTGGGAAGAAATCACACCCTCAAAATCCTTGCCAGGGTCATTTCTCCTTCAACAAACACACCAACTCAGAGCTAAATCTAATGAGATTTTAGGCAAGCTGAGTATTATTTTCAAAGCAATACTTACTGAAGTGAACAGGGAGCCACTGCTGAGCTTTTCCAACGAGGAAGGAAAAAAAAAAACAAAACAAAAAAACAAACACTACTAAAGAAGAATTTAAATCTGGTTTCTTGGTCGGCAGGATACAGGTTACTCAGTTAAAAATAAAGTCCAGGATCTGTGCACACCTAAGAAAACAACAGATTTAATAAACAAACACTTGGTTAGTAAGTTCACTTCAGGCATTTTCTAGTATTTTCACATCCCTTCATGCTAAATGTAATCCATAATGTTGTCACACTCCAAAATAGTGTAATTTAATTTGTGGGGGTTTTAAAATTTTATTTTCATCCAAAAGCACTTATTCTGCCACACTCCAATACAGTCATTTTAAAAAATAAACTTGCTTGACTATAACAAGTCAAAATTGTGGTCAGATTAACAAAAACATTCCTCTGCACTTCTAGAAAGCCAACATTTCAGAATCAATATACAGAATAAAGAGAAGAACTCTCTTTCTAGAGAAAACCTAGAATAAATTACTATCAAGAGAAATTATAGGCACTTGAATTTTAGAACAAGTATGCTAGAAAGCCACAATGGCTCTAGGATGGTTCAATCACTACAGGGTAAAAATAAACACATGAAATGAGCATCAAATCATAGTGGAGACACTTTGTTTGAAAAACATGAAGGTGTAGATTTTGCTTTGAGTCTGAACTCAGGCCTGACAAGCTCCCTGGTGCACCAAGGGAGTGCCAAAACAACTTTCGAGGCAAGCACATTATATTTAAATGCAATATTGATTGGGGCAAAAGCATTGTCTCATCCTCTTTTCTGCTTCATTGATGGAATGGAGACTCTGAAGTAACTTGAGAGATTTCAATTAATCAGGATCAAGATAAAAGCACTACTGGAAAGAGTACAGGAAACACATTTTAAAAATATTCCTAGTATGTGAAGCATGCTGCATAGAACTTCTCAGAAATATCATTGAGATAAAAAATTTGGGAGGATGGCTCCTATGTAACAAAAGGGCAGGACATGCTCCAGTCACTGCCCATCCATGCCCACATGGCAAGAGAATTACAAACACTTGTAGTGCCAGGAAAGGCAAATCCAGCTGCTGGAGGCTTAAGTTTTATAGCTTCACATTAATGGGAGTATTTCAGCAGTGAGGATTTGAAATGAATGAGAGAATCAGGTGAGGCAGTTTCAGAATTAAACTCGATTTCCACATCCCGATCCCACTGTGAGACAGGTCAGCTGGAAGCAGGGACCTGATAAGGATGCTGTGGAGCTGTGTGGCCCAAGAGACGGGATTCTGTGTTGTGAATCTTGAATGAACACATTGATAACACAGAAAGCTTTACATAAGGTACTCTGTGAATGGGAACTGCAGCAGATATGCAAGCACGCTAAGAAGAAACACAAACAGACACATAAACTCATCCAAAATCCAACACATAAAAGGTATTGCTTTTTATCCGGGCAAACAGCTTCAGTTAGAAGAAAAACACCTCTGGAAAGTACACGAGGACTTCGCTCAAGGCCCACAGCGCCGTTTCTATTCTATACAAGGATGTGAAAAAGCTCCCGCCAGCAGCCAACCTGAAAAAACCACGGAGGCCGTCAACTTCCCTACCCTCCCTCTCTATTTAAAAAACCCCAGGTCCTTTTCTCACAGAAGAAACGACAGCTTAGAAATCACGGGGATCACACCGAAGTCACGCCAAGGCAGACACCAGCCCCGAACAGCTCCACAAAACGGGACGGGCGCACAGGGGCGGGAGGGCAAACAGCGGGGCCTACAGCGGGGCGGCGAGCGGCTCCCAAAAAGCCTCCCCCGAGCACTCCCAGGCGGCAGCGGCGACCCCCGACCCCAAATTCCTGCTGCACTCCGTCCGAGCCCGCAGGAGGCAGGACACGGCACCGCACCGCCCGCCCCAGCCGCCCCCGGCAGGGCAACGCCGTGAGGGGCAGCTCCCGCGGAGGAGCCGCGCTGGCACCGCCCCCGCCTGCCCCCCGGCCCGGCCCGGCCCGCGAAGGTCACCCGCTGCTCACCCGAAGCGCCGCCGGTGCTGAGGCACCACATGGGAGGGCGGGAGCGGGAAGCGGAGGAAGAAGAGGAGGAGGAGGAGGAGAAGGAGGAGGAGGAGGGAGGGCGAAGGGCGGGACGGGACGGGCGGTGCCGCTCTCGGGCGCCCCCTGGCGGCGCGCGTGAGGCGGGCGCGGCCATGGCGGCCCCGGGGGGCCGGGCGGGGGGGGCTCCCGGCGGG